TATGAGTCGATTTGGACTCATAGTGACCCTATAGGACAGCGTAGAACTGCCCCATAGGGTTTCCAAGGAGTGGCTAGTGGATTTGAACTGCTGACCTTTTGGTTAGCAGCTGAACTCTTAACCTTTGTGCCACCCGTGCTCCATCGATCCATTGCTTACGACCTTTAAAAAACTCAGTTGCCATCCAGTCGACTTTAACTCATGGCGACCCCATGTGTGTCAGAGTAGAACTGTCCTCCATGGGGATTTCGGGAGAAGATTTTTCAAAAGTCGATTGTCAGTCCTTTCTTCCAAGGCATCTCTGGGTGGACTCGAACGTCCAACCTTTCAGTTAGCAGCTGAATGTGTTTTAATTGTTTGCACTACCCAGGAACACTGCTTACAACCTTATCTATCCCGAATGTCAGTGACAACGGGGACCCGAGGGTCATACGCCATCTGGGAGTACACTGTGAGCGTTTAAGTGTGAAAGATGGAGGAAGACATTTTGGCTTCTGCACTTTGCAGCCTGGATTGTGGGTTTTTGCACAAGAGCCCAAAGGCCAATCACAGAGAGAGAGAGAGAGAGATGGATCCATGTTTGTCTGCTGGCTCAACACCGAGGTCCTACTGGGAGGATGATTAGATTTGCTAGCATTAAGTCCTAATGCGCAAGTATTTATTTTCATCATGTCATTCAGCCACAGAATTGGCAGTGGCACCGTGAAGTCACTACCCAATTTCCTGTGCATGGATTGTAGACTTATTTGAGGAAAACAATAGGAATCAGGCTAGCTCTCCGAGTGGTCTCGCACAGTTCCATGAAATGGCAGTATTGTTGATTCGTTCCCCTCACTGACAGTTAATCTTTGAAGAGAGAACGCCTGACTTGGTTTTGATTTGATTTGCTTGTATCTATATTAAGTCAAAGGAGTCCTTGTGGCCCAGTGGTTCAGTTAAGTGCTCGGCTGCTAAACAAAAGGTCAGCGGTTCGAACCCACCAGCCAGCTGCTCTGGGGGAGGAAGATGTGGCAGTCTGCTTCTGTAAAGATTACAGCCTTGGAAACCCTGTGGGGCAGTTCTGCTCTGTCCTGTAGAGTCACGATGAGTCGGAATGGACTCTACCGCACATGACAACAACAGCATATTAAGTCAAGGGTCATTTTAGCTGAAGGTCATTATGAAGCCAGCCAAAGGACCAGGGTCTCTTATCCTCCCTTTTGGCCAGTGTGGGCCCGTTAAACTGAGAGAGGCTGGGGACACCCAGGCACCAGCTGACCGTGGGTCTACGCAGAAGGGTGTTCCTCGAAGAGCAGATGCTGGGATGTGAGAGCCGGGAGGGACCCGATGCCGCCCTCCCATTGTACAGATGGAGAGGTGGAGGCCCACAGTTGACCACGTGCTCCCTGCTGAGCAGGGATTTGAACCCGCTGTTCCAACCCATCTATCAGTTTGTGGTGCTCTGGTGGCTTGTGACTTACTCTGATGCTGGAAGCTGTGCCACCAGTATTCGAAATACCAACAGGTAACCCATGGTGGACAGGTTTCAGCAGAACTTCCAGAATAAGACTAGGAAGAAAGGCCTGGCAATCCACTTCTGAAAATGATCCACTGAAAATCCTATGGATCACAAAAGACTATTGTATGGTATAGTGTTGGAAGATGAGGCCCCTAGGTTGGAAGGCACTCAGAATACACAGTGGCTGCAGCAGTGGGCTGGAGCAGATGAAGGATCGTGAAGGCGGCGCAGGCCCCGGGCAGTGGTTCGTTCTCTTACACAGGAGGTCGCGGTGAGTTGGAGCCGGCTGGTTGCTGGATGGCAGCTGACAACAGCATTCCCACATTTAGTGAAGTTTTGTTTTGCAAGTTAGCTGTCCTTTATTTACCTGTAGTTAGTGCTCATGAAATGGCTTCAGAAGTAGCTGCGCCTACATTACTGCCCATCTCCCCCCGCCTCCTGTGATCGCAAATAAAGAGTGTTGTCTGTGTTGTTGATGGTGGGCAGCTGTGACCAGTGCTGTGTGGGCACCCCACGCCAGGGACACGTGTTAAGGAACAAGTGACCTGGGAGCACACAAGTCCATGTAGCCTCTGTACCCCCGTCGGCATCTTAGTTATTTTTTCTAAAATTAAGGGGCAGCAGGGAACGAGTTAATTCTGATTGCTCGGTCTGTAGTAATGTTCTAGATTCCTTTTCCTCTATTATCAAGCCATCCCTTATTGTCAACATTTAATTGCAACATGAATTAAAAAAATATTATTGACTGTGTTTACAATTCTTTATGGAATTAAAACTGCCAGGCCCAGTCAGACTCAGCACAGGGCTGACAAAAATTCAGTATATGAATTGTAAATACCGAAGCTTTCTGTCCTGTTTTCTTCAGTATTTCTTTGAAGACAGCTTTGATGCGTCCCTTAGTGTCAAAGCATAGCTGTGAGGCCCAGGGGAACTAGAACACGATGAAGAAGAAGGCAGTTTCGCTGGTAGATGTTGACCTCAGCGTGGCCGATGGTTGCTGGAACCGAGTGTTTATGTCGTCTGTGGCTGTCTTCCTACCCCCCAATTAAAGAAATCCTGAGAGACGGAGGAAAATGCTGAGGGGCAGGATATAATTTTTCTGCTCCTTTGCAAAACCGTGCCAGTTTCCAGACTTGAGTTCTTGGCTTTTGCTACGGAAGTCAAGGGAGAAGAGGGCCTTGTGTCGAATGTAGAAGGATTGCGGTTCCCTGGATCTGCTGCCAGGCCGTTTCTTCGCTCCGCATTATCACTATTTTCTCCCCTACAGGTGATTAATCCCTGATCCTGGAGGGCAGGCGGCCGGGACATGATGAAGCAGTTGGGAATCTCTCCTCTCTTCCCCAAGCCTTAGTGCCTTTTTGTCTGCACCAAGGGGGTTTTTCCAAAAGTGAACACTGCCCTCTCCCAAATCGGAGCACGTATTTTGTCCGTGGCACAATGAGAGCCTTACGCTTGTGGTTCTGCGTGTGAATATTTCACCAAAGAGACCCCGAGGCCCAGAGCCTCTCGAGGGACCCGTTGGATCATAGGCAGTTCCAAGTTGTCAGTGAGTGTTACCAGCCAGCAGAGAATGTAGGAAATTTGTAATCAGGGCGAATTTTAAGGAAGTCCAGGCAAGGGAGACAAAACCATTCTCCCTGGAGTAAAAGTAAAAATAAACAACTGGGTTGTTTTTGCGTTTCTGTTTCTTGTTTCTTTCTATAGCTCTCTGCCCAGACGGTCTTGGTCTGTTCTTGCCCCTACAGCCCCAGTGTGAATTCACATGCCTTGGGTTCTGAAGCTTCTCTTTGTCCTGGGCCTGGGGTGGCCCTGGGGGGCAGAGATGCAGGAAGGATGACCCCACCGTGCCCCAGTTTTACTTTTCCCTAGTGGTTCAGAGAAGCAGCTTGTGTGCTGGGAAAAGTAGCTTTGCTTCGAAATAAGCGTGGATTTCTTTGTAGCTACGTCTCTCTTGAAAAAACAGGAAGGGGACTTGGGGATGTCTGGGGGCAAGCTTTTAAGAAGCTTGCCTGAGAGTCAGGAGAGATTCGAGTCTCTGTGTTTCCTCTGCTTTTCCCGCTCAGCCCTGGAGGGACCTCGGTCGGTTTGTCTCGGAGATGAGTGGGTGTGATTATACTGTGACATGGGTGCAGGGAGGGGACCTGGAGAGTGGGCAGCGTCAGTCGGGGCTCCTTCTGTCGCTCTGTCAGATGCTGCTCTTAGCTGCAAGCCCGAGCTGTCTGAACGGTTCTCGTGGAGGGCTGTTGTCTTGCCAGCGCCCCCCGTCAGAGCAGGCCGACAGAACTCAGGCGGTCCTGGCTCTTTAGTAGGGGGAAAGCCCCAGTTGCCATTGAGTCGACTCTGACTCATGGCGCCCCCATGTGTGTCAGAGTAGAACTGCGCTCCATAGGGTTTTCAATGGCTGAGTTGCCAGGCCTTTCTTCCGAGGTGCCTCTGGGTGGACTTGAACCTCCAACCTTTCAGTTTGCAGGTGGTTAGTGTCTTAACCATTTGCACTACCCAGAGACTCCTCAGTAGGAGCTAACTCAGCTCGGTGTAGGGGCTGCTGGAGCCTCTGGATTCCAAGCACATTTCTTAGGTTGAAAAGAAAAGACGGGGGCAGGAAGCGGCAGTAGATGGGGAGGGAGGCTGGGCTGGCTGCCTGCAAAGGGGCTTTGTGTTTCTCGTGTACTTGCTGTGTTCTTCCTGCCTCAAAGGCAGCACATACCCAGGTTCTGCAAACAGGTTAAGTGTCAGGGGGTCTGTGCAGTGGTGTTCAGTCTCTGCCTTACCCATCTGATCCCACTGCAGCGGGCACTCAGATATCTGCAGCCCTTGTTAATGTGTGCGTATGTCAGACGTTGGAGCTGTTTTCGTTTTATGGAGGCAGCTGCTCTAAGTGACGACTAATTAGCAAGAGCCCAGGCTTCGACTGTCAGGCACTTCCACCTGCGCTGACAGGTCTTCTCATTGTTTCCTCCTCAGTACCGGTAATTGACACGACACTCAGTCGGCTTAAGTACATAAACCTCTGTTGGAGCAATATTCTCTCTCTCTCTTTGGCATGTGTGCAAATACATTTATTCTACAGTAACTCACTTAGTCAAGGGTATTATGGACCAGAAAAGGAATGAAACGTTGTATTATAAAAACATTTGTTGAGATGACATCAAGTTGATTCCAACTCGTGGTGACCCCATGAGTGACAGAGCAGAACTGCCCCCTCTAGGGTTTTCTAGGCTGTAGTCTTTACAGAAGCAGATCGCCAGGTCTTTCTCTCCCAGAGCCACTGGGTGGGTTTGAGACATCAACCTGTTGGTTAGCAGCTGAGTGCTTAACCATTTGTACCACCCAGAAGGGCTGTGTAGTACTGCATGTTCCCCATCGTGGAGTTCTTAAAGAGTTTCTTTTAATTTTATGATCTAAATGATGAAGTGTAAGTTTGGAATGGGAGCATGTTACTGGGAAGCAGTGGTGCAACATCTTCTTTTCCTAAGCAGTGTTGGGAATCACCCATGACGCCATGCCGCCCGTGGCCTTGCTGGCCCGCCGTGACCGCAGCTTGAGAAGCCACGGTTCTCTTGGCAGGTACAAAGCCACCAGCCAGCGTGACGGGCCTTGCTTTGTTTTAAAGGCAAATTCGGTGTCACTGAAGCCAGGACGGGGGGTTGACTTTCTTAGTGTCGTTCTCCTCCGTGTGGGGGAATTGGGTGGGCACAGTGTGTACGCATGCATGAACGCACACACACGCACGCACCCACGCACACACCCCGCCCTGGACACACCCAGGCACATATCTCAAGTGTGTCCATCCTTCAGGTGTTGCTGCAGCATGGAATTTAATTGAAATACGGCAACTAGAAGGAGCCCTGGTGGTGCAGTGGTTGAGTGCTCAGCTGCTAACTGAGGGGTCGGCAGTTCAAACCCACCAGCTGCTCTGTGGGAGAAAGATGTGGCAGTCTGCTCCCGTAAACATTACAGCATTGGAAACACTATAGGGCAGCTCTCCTCTGTCCTATAGAGTAGGTATGACTCAGAATCAACTCCATGGCAGTGGGGTTTAGGGCGAGTAGCCCGGTTCTCCCCACGTTCCCCTCCCTCTCGCTTGAGACTCAGGTGAAGATCCATCTCATCTTGTATGTAACCTTCCCCTTTAGCATAGTATCCAGCCCACGGAAAGGTCTTGATAGAGGAATATTCTCGTATGCAAGTCTTTTGCTAAATCTTACATTATTTTTCATTTGGAGCCCTGATGGTGCAGTGGTTAAGAGCTTGGCTGCTAACCAAAAGGTCAGCAGTTTGAATCTACCAGTCACTCCTTGGAAACCCTCTGGGGCAATTCTGCTCTGTCCTGTAGGGTCACTATGAGTCGGAATCGACTTGACGGCAATGGGTTTGGTTTTTTTTTGTTTGTTTGTTTTTCTTGAGGCAGCATTTTGCTCTGATTGGACGTTGATGGAGATGATCAAATATTTGGAAAATTTGATGTTTTTAATAAAAGGTACATTTCTGCCAGTTGAGTTTATCATTTAGTTTATTTCTCTGGTGGCCAGAAATACAAACATATGTCATCCTGGTGAGGGTATAAATACAAAAGGCCCTGCATATTGTTGCACTGTTTATGTAATCATGCATTTTTTGTGTAACGGACCCTGGCTTAATTTGTAACAAATATTCAATATTTGTGGTGATAGCTTCATCAGATGGTGGTCTGTGTTTAAAAGTCAGCAGTGCGTTAATGAACTGAGCTTATTTGATTCACACCATACCGTTTATTTTCCTATTAAGGTTCATTTAACAAAAAAAAAAACAAAAAAAAAACTCTTATTTTTTAACAGGTCAAATGGCATAAAATGTAAAAGGTACCAAAAGGTCACAATGGAAAGAAAGTCTCTTCATTACCTTTGGCTGTCAGCTGCATGGCCCCCTAACCCTAAATCAGCAACCTTTAGTGGTTATCCTACCAGAAACATTCTTGGCCTTGGCAGCGTGTGTGTATATTTTATAGGGCCCCCCTCCCCCCCACTTTTTGAAACATACAGTTGTTTGGCTCCTGGACATTACTGTCTTGCACCTTGCTTTTGGAGTCCCTGGGTGGCGCAAAGGATTAAGCGGTGGGCTACTAACGGTTTGTGGTTCGAACCCACCCAGAGGTGCCTAGGAAGAAAGACCTGGTGATCTGCTTCTGAAAGATCAGCTACTGAAAACCCTGTGGAGCAGTTCTACGCTGACACATACTGGGTGGTTGCCATGACTTGTAGTTGACTCGACGGCAGCTGGTTTTGGTTACCTTGTTTTTCTTACTTCATATAGCTTGGGTTCTCCTTCAGTACCTGGAGGCATCAATCCTTTTATCAACTGCTTCGTAATTCATTGTACGGATACGTCCACATTTACGTACCCCGTGTTGGGGTTTGTTAAAAGGACAGCCTTGTTGTGACTTTCTGGGCAGCTGGGCATTGATAGGCGTGCGTTCCGTCCCTGGATGCACCCTTGTCCTTGTACGTGTCTGACTTCACTGGGCCAGCCCACCCACGGATCCTCCATGGCCTCACCTCCGCTGTGCTGAGAGAGCTCCGTGATGACCGAGAGGAAGTGTTGAACGATTTCATCAGTAACGCTGCTGTTAGTTAACACTTCCTGAGCACCTGTGCTTACATGGTCCACCTGTTACCTGCAGCATGTTGGGGTGGGGAGGGTGGCTGGACTGACGAAAGAGTGGGTGTTTGAGTGTACCCCACAAAATGTAGCCCCCAATGGGGCTGTTTTAGTGGAGGGAGCGGCAGGTGGTGTGTGGAAGTCTGTTTGTACTGGCTGTCTGAGGGCAGTGCTGGGGAGAAGTCGCTCTGCCTGGCAGTGTCCTCAGATCTCTCCTGATCTTTCCGTTACAAACACCTTCTGTTGTGGATTGAATTGTGTCCCCTAAAAATGTGTCAACTTGGCTAGGCCATGATTCCCAGTATTGTGTGGTTGTCCACCATTTTGTGATCTGATGTGATCATCCTATGTGTTATAAATCCTAACCTCTATGATGTTAGAGGCAGTTATGTTAATGAGGCAGGATTCAATCTCCGGGATTAGGTTGTATCTTGAGTCAGTCTCTTTTGAGATATAAAAGAAAGTAACGAGCAGAGAGACAGGGGGACCTCATAAATAGTGCCAGGAGCAGAGCGTGTCCTTTGGAGCCGGGTCCCTGCACTGAGAAGCTCCTAGACCAGGGGACGATTGATGACAAGAACCTTCCCCTAGAGCTGACAGAGAGAGAAAGCCTCCCCCTGGAGCTGTTGCCCTGAATTCGGACTTCTAGCCCCCTAGACTGTGAGAGAATAAACTTCTGTTTGTTAAAGCCATCCACTGTGGTATTTCTGTTATAGCAGCACTAGATGACCAAGAATGGTAACCCCTGCAGGTGAGACTCTGCCCGTCTGTTCTGCCAGCCGACCAGGCATTCATGTCCCCAAATGTCCTTCAGCACCAATGCCTTGAGACTTCTCCAGTTTCTCCTAAGGCCTCCTCTGAATTCATCGCCCCTTCTTTCCCTGAAGCGCGAAAAGTCTGGGGCATCCCACCTCCCAAGCAAGCGTAGGCCTCTCCCCAGTCACTGGGGTTCGCGGCCCCTGGTGTGGTACGTGGCCATCGTCCTTGTTTTCTCACCCGGTGGCCTGGCGTCCGTGGCACTGCCTCCTGCATCTCCCCCGCAGTGGAGTGCGAGCTCCAGCCGCTGGCCTCCGTTCCTCCCCCACTGGACCTGAGTAGCACGCATCTGCTTGAAAGTGATGACCTTCCTTGATGCATTAGGTGTTGTGTGCATCACTTTGTCTCTTGGACATAAGACATTTCAAAACTTGAGGAACATCTACAGAAAGTGCGGTGCGTTTTGAAGGAGGCGTGTTCGCTCTGAGCTCGGCTCTGGCTGGACCAGTGGACGCGTTCTTCACCAGCTCACTCTTTCTGCCTCGGCTGAGCTGCTTGGTGGTCATGATACATATCGCGTGTGCCTTTGTGGGGGTCTCACTTATGGCAAGGATTGGCATAGGGGGCCCTGGACAATCAGGTGGTATGTAAAGCCGGGTGTTTTGGGTCATCTGTGGCTGGTGGGTCCCTGCGACCTGCATGCATGGGCCTGAGAGGCAGAGATGGCCTTTGCATGTGTGCTAGCCGTGCTAACTGGGTGGAGGGTAGGACCCCTTGTGAGGGGCTGGGTGGGGGCTGCTCATCTTTCTGATCTAGCCTTAGTCCTGGGTGAAGTTCAGTGTTGAGTATGTACATGGGGATCAAAGCTCTGGCACAAAGTCTTCTAAGCTGTTGACTGTTGCTTGTATTGTTATCTTTCAGATTGTGAGAACCCAGTCACTACCTATCATACTTAATTTGTGGGATTTCAGGATAGGGAGATCAAAAGTTACCAGATTGAGGGGGGTACTCAGTTTCTGTTAAAGGTGGTGGAATAATGTGCAAAAGCATAGTGTTCCTGGTTGTACAGTGGTCCCTGGGTGGTACAGATGGTTCAGCACTCGACTGCTAGCTGAAAGGTTGGCAGTTCGAACCCACCAAGGTTCCGAAAGGTCGCAGCCTTGAAAACCTTCTGGAGCAGTTCTGCTGTGCTCCCATGAGGTCTCCACGAGTCAGAATTGACTCAACGGCAGCTGACAACAACAGGGGTTGTATAATGTGATGAATATAATCAATGTCACTGAATTATACATGTAAAAATTGCTGTTTTAGCAAGTCTTCTGTTATATATTTTTTCACCACAATAAAAAGAAAAAGTAACTTGGGCAATGCAGAAAACTATAAAGAAGAAAATAAAAAGAAATCGTATTCCCACCATCCAGAAATGAACACTGTTAACTTAAAAAAAAAGAAAAAAGTTGATTGATTGGCTGTCGGATCAGTTGAGCAACAGCCTCCTTAAACACGTCTGCACTTGAGAAGTTGTAGAACCAGAAGGGTTTTACGATATGCCTGTGATAGCCTGATGTGCTGGGCTGGGAGCGGTTTGCAAAGGGAAAGTTAAAGTGACAGAGGCATTTTAAAGCCGTCAGACGGTGGTACCTCACTTCTCAGAAGGCAGACCCCAGACTTGGAATCTGACTACCCGATCGGCAGGGGGCTCAGCTGGGTGGGCTTTGACCATCACGGAACTTCCCTGGGGTGAGAGTGGCCGGAGGAGGTTGGACAGTCTTTGATGTCATTCTAGTTTAAAAAATGGCAGGTGGGGGCGTTTGGACTTGGCCCTTAAGCAGATCATAGCGTTTACCTTTGCTTTTGCCCTGTTTTACAGATGCCTTTGTGAACAGCCAGGAATGGACGTTAAGCCGATCTGTCCCAGAGCTCAAAGTGGTGAGTGGTTCCTTTGGGCCTTGGTGGTTGTCATTCTTCACCCACAGGAAGGGCATGGGGTTGGTGTCAGAGGTGGGATTGGACTGTGAGCACATCTGAGAGAACCTGATCATCTCTCAGGCCCAGACGGGGCATGTCTCTGTGATGCATTGCTGGGAAGGACCAGGTGTTAGCTGACAGCTTGAGTCTGGGGAGCTGCGTGACACTGTGATGATCACAAAACTGGAGTGGGCTTGTGAGCACAGGGAAAGAGTTATGTGTTCTTGTACGTTCTCCCTGTGTCTGTCTGTCTGTCACTCCCGCCATCTCTCTTTCACGCACACACACACACAAACTGGGTTTATTTGTGCTTTGCATGATATCATGAGAGGTTTATGTAATGAGGCGTCAAGCTTTCATCTTCATCATTTAAAAAAAATAAATATAACTGACTATTTACCATATTACAAAGTATTAGCATAACGTTAAAGAAGAATTTTCCTTTTGTTATAGACTTTTAAATACCCTTTCAATTGGATTATTTAAAGCTTAAAACTGACTTATGTAAAAAATGATGAGTCTTTTGCAGCTACACCTTTGGCCCCCTCCCCACTGCATGGCCCCCACCTTAGGTTGGGAGGAAGGGACAGATCAAATGTACCTTTTAAAAAAGCATATTATTTATCATGAAATATGTGGTATCTGGGACACATGCATACACACATATACACATATAATACATATTTATGTGTATACAAATATATACACATATATACACCCATATATAAACACATACATACTTAGGTATGTATGTGTGTGTTTAAAGTTCTCAAGTGAGGGACTCTGACTATAAAATGAATCAGATAAATGCTTGCTGTGCAGGAGACTCCTGATGCTAAGCAGCTGCAGTGTGGACCTGTGGAATTCTCGTGGGCCCGTCACCTTCAGCACACCCAGACCAAGCCCTGTTTCTTGCTGCACATTTGCTGTCTCTCCCTAGGTCTGTGCTTCTGTTCACAGCACCCACCTTCTGCTCCCCAGCAACCCAGCTGGAGCCCCAGAGGCCCGGGGCGACTCCTTCCCAATAGCCCCACATCAGTGGGGGCTCAGAGGAAGGGACACGGGGTGGGGCCGGGACCCTTCAGTTTTCTCACTTTTGAGATGAGAACACCGATCACCCGGGCCTCCTTCAGCTCTCTGAAGAAGGCATGTATGACTTCTGAAACCAGGACGCATGCGTGCCTTTAAACTTAAATGAAGGAAGGCGTGTGTGGAGGCACCTTGAAATCTGGGAAGGCCGTGCTCCCAAGTCTCCTGTCCGTCCCAGTAAGCCATGTCCTCCTCTGAGCTATTCCTGGCTGTTGTCTTCTGGGCTCATTTCCTTCCTGGTTCCCTCCCCGTCCCTCCCCATGAGCTCTCACCTGGTCCCGCAGCACCTGCCAATGGTTTTCTTCCTCGTGGAAGACAAAGGCCCTGCCAGTCACAGCACCCGTTTCGGAAGCCCAAGGGTTCCGCGAGACTGGCCTCGAAGCTGCCCCATCTTTCTGTCTGTTGTGTGTTTTGTAACCACTCTGCCCAGCACAGCATTCATCCCACAGAAGGCATTCAGGAAATGGCCATTGAGTGAATGACGTGACGTTGGCAGTGTTGTTACAGGGAGGTTTTTTTTTTTAACCAAGTTTAGGCAGTTTCAGATATGCCCTGTTAGGACAACCCAAGTGCCATTCAGCTTCTGTGATCAGACGAAAGCAGTGGCAAGAGTTTTTAATGATGGTGATGAGGCTTAGAAAGCGCTTGCTCTGTGCCTTCACAGGGTTATCTCTTTGAATGCTGACAGCTACCCCATTGCACAGATGGGGAAACTGAGGCCCAGAGACATTCAGAACTTGCCCAAGGACCAGCGATTAATAACTGGCAGAGCTGGGTTAGAACCCAGAGTTTATGCTTCTAGGTCAGCACTGCCCCATAGAAGTTGCCACAGTGAAGGAAATGTTGTACATCGAAACTGTCCAACATGGTAACCACTAGCCACACGTGGCTACTGAGCACTTGAAATGGGGCTAGTAGGACTGGTGGGGCTGAGTATTAAGATTTTATGTACGTTTAGTTCATTTAAATGGAAACAGCCACGTGTGGCTAGTGGCCACTGGGTGCCAGTAGCTACAGACTGGCCATTACCAAGTTGGCCGCCGTTCCTTAGTACATAACCATGTGATTTAGTCCCAGGTCTGGCACCTAAAGGTGTCACACCTGGAGGGCCCTCTAGTGACCCACATTTTCATACAGGCCCACAATCGAGGATGCTTACTACCAAAAACGTGTTTGCTGGTGGCATTTCCAGCACCCTGTAATTTTCTGGATAACTGCCCAGAGGTGCAGGCGGCAGCTGGATTCGGGCTCCCCAAACAACCGTCTTCCAGTTTGCTCAAATTCCCTGAGCTGATTCTCTGTCTCACGGATGAAGTTGAGGGTTCTGAGCTCTGGGGATGTTAGTTCCCTGACCTGTGCGTGGACGGGCAGGACCCCAGCAGGGACGCAGGTTCTACGAGAGCCCCGTGCCCCCCTGTTGTGGAAGTAGCTGCCCCCACCCTCAGCAGATCCCTTCTATGCTAAGGAGCCTTCAGTATCCAGAGAAAGTGCTCCTTTGTCCTGCAGGGCAGTCTCTGTGCGGTCACAGGGCTGCGATTGTTTCCTGCCCGAGTGTGACATCCCGAGCCAGGTGGTCCTTTAGGTCAGCGTCTTAGGAACCCAGGCCCCCGCTTCCCAAACGGCAGCAACCAAGTGATGTAATAGCAAACCTCAAATGGATTCTTTATGTCATATTTTGCAATAAATCTCTTGGAATGTGTCAGAGAAAAGAATTCAGTGTTTGCTTTCTTGCCAAGAGTGGTGGTACCATGTCTTATGTTTTCTGAAGTTGTGTTGTGGCTAGATAATCAATGGCCGATTGCTTATCTGTTGTTCTGGAATGTGGCCTAGCTCTGCTCGCCACAAAAGTGGGTGAAGCAGCATGTGCTTAGGGCTTACGTCGGGGTGGGGAGAGTAAATAAATACGCCTTCAGCCTCTTGCCTGTTGAGGGGAGCTTTAGTCAAAAACGTGTGATACCCTACTTCTGTGTTCTCATGGAACCTGCAATTGGGATTTTTACCAAAAGCCTTGATTTCCGTTTGAGCACACCACGTGGTGAGCAGGTGAGCGGTGAAGTGTGGGTAATGGAGAAGTCGTTAAAAGTCAGCCCTGTGCTCGCTTCCTCTTGCCACGTGAGCATGCCAAGCACGGGCCGCGACCGTTCATGGGATGGCACAGGAGATGCTGGTGATGCTGGTGCCTACCCACACCTACTCCTCCTCCCTGATGTTAGTACTCTTCCTCCTGCTCCTGCTATACTGCTAGTACTACTCTTCCTCCTACTCCTACTGTACTACTATTACTGCTGCCACTACTATGTCGATTCTTCTTCCTCCTATATTACTCCTCGTTCTCCTTCTCTTCCTCCTACTCCTATACTAATCCTACTCCTACTGTATTCCTTCTGTTACTACTACAGCATTACTACTGTGACACTCCTCTTTCTCCTCCTCTTCCTACTACTATGCTCCTCCTCGTCCTACTACTATTCCTACTCCCACTCTATTCCTCCTATTACTCCTGCAGCACTACTACCACTCCCCTCCTCTTCCAGCAGTGTTCCTCATTCTCTTCCTCCTCTGACTACAGTACTCCTGTTCCTACTACACCACTACTCCTACCCCCCTCCTCCTACTGTACGACTACAGCTGGACCACTACCACCACCACTAAACTGCTGGTTGCCCTCGAGTTGACTCTGCCTCATGGCGACCCCGTGTGTCAGGGTAGAACTGTGCTCCATAGGGTTTTCATTGGCTGATTTTTTTGGAAGCAGATCGCCAGGCCTTTCTTCCGAAGCACCTGTGGGTGAACTCAAACCTCCAACCTTTTGGTTAGCAGCCAAGTGCGTTAACTGTTTGCACCTCCCAGGAACTCTGAGGACCTGCTGCCACCCTAAAATACTAGCTCTTTTGAATGCTCAGAACCCTTTCAGCTGTGTTACCTCATTTACACCCACAGAGCCTTTTGACCAGCAGGCCTGAGTCCGCGCTCCGGTTTGCATCCAGGAACAGGTCCTTGGGTTCCCGTGGAGCTTTACAGCTTAAAGAGCATTTGCCGCGTGTATTTCATTTCCTCCTCACACGCTCAGGTGTTGGTTTCTGCCAGTGTTTCAGATTAAAATTCTGCCCCAATACGAGGTGGTCTGTGAGCCAGCCATTCCAGCCAAAGAAAGTACCTTCCCGCCCCCCCCCCGCCCCCCGCAGTGTTGATTGATTTCTTCCTTCTGAGGGTTAATCCTAACTCTTTGCACAATGGCTTCCACGTAGAGGGAAGGAATTTTGCCAAGTAGTGAAGCACAGACTGAAAAATGGTTGATTTTGAGCATTTTTATCCTCAGGAACGAGCAGCTCTCGTGTTAATTAAAAATTCAATTCTGTGGCCTACTGTTTGGGATTTTCGCAGCATGAAGCCGACAAACAGCAGGTGCCCTGGAGCAAAAGCATAATTAATTGGCAGAGATTCTCAGATCATAGAGGCCCAAGGTAACCAGAAGACATGAGTCAAATTAGGAGGCGAAACGACTTTGTTTAGGCACCATTGCAGAGTCTTGCTTTGAGCAGAAGTAATAAAGCATCTCATTAATACTTGTTAGCATTCAAAGCTGTCATTCGTTCATTCATTCATTCACCTGCTGTTGTTGAGTGTGCCAGGGGCAGGTGCTGCTCCCGGATACAGATGGCCAGAGATCAATAAGACACACAGTCCTTGTCCTTTGGGGAGTTAGCAGTGCTGGACAGAGATCCACATATTTACGTTTGCAGAATAAAGTGACAAGTCACAAGATGGCAAAGGAACAGGGGCCTAAGGGGGTGCTGATGAGAAACACCCCATTGAGACTGTGGGTACCAGGAAGGCTTCTCAGAGGAGGTGCTATCTGAGCCAAAGGCTGACTGCTGAGTAGGGGGAGCGTTTCAGTGATTGGTGTGGAAAGGGTGGGTGGCTGGAGACTACAAGGTCTACTAGGCTCCAAATTCCAACCCCAAATTCATCTTTTCATGATGGAATACTCCAGAATACATGTATTACCCCACATTATTCTTAACAAAAAACCAAAAACCAGTTGCCTCTGAGTCCATTCTGACTGCTGGCAACCCCATGTGTGTCAGGGCAGAATTGCTCCATAGGGTTTTCAGTGGCTGATTTTTCTAGAGTAGATCACCAGGCCTTTCTTCCAAGGTGCCTCTTGGTGGACATGAGCCCTCAACCATTCAGCTAGCAGCTGAGCGCATTAACCGTTTGCACCACCACAGGACTCTCTATTTTCTGTCCTGCCATTGTGTTCTACTCTTAAGTTAACCTAGTGCTTTGCTCAGACTACTGAGATACACAGTGAAGGCGTCCTGGCTGACTGCCCTCTCCAGATGTAGCCAACAGCACAGTTGTTAACTGAATGAATGCCGCAACCCGTGTTTATATGGTGTTGACAACCGTGCAGCTGTTGACCCTGATGAGAACGTGAGAGCTGGGTGTTGGAATGCCTTTTATTCCACCGGAAGTATTTCATGAGCTCATTTTGGGCCATCCAGCCAGTGCTTGTTTGTGATTATTTTTAAGTTTGCTGTATATATTTTAGGATTCCTTAGGGTTGTTTTCTATCTCAGGATCCCTGGGTGGTGCAAACAGTTAGGCACTTGACTGCTCGCTGAAAGATTGGAAGTTTGAGTCCACGCAGAGGAAAGGCCTCAGAAGAAAGGCCTGGTGATCTACTTATGAAAATAATCAGCCATTGAAAACCCTGTGGAGCAGAGTTCTACCCTGACACACATGGGATCACCGTGAGTCGGAATCGATGCGACCACAGCTGACAACAACTATATTTTAACCTTTTATTTGCAGATTGCCAGTTCGAGTGGTTTAATTATACTGAAAGATTGTTCATTCCTTTGTTTCAGGGAATTGTGGGTAATTTGGCCAGTGGCAAGTCCGCCCTGGTACACAGGTACCTGACCGGCACGTATGTCCAAGAGGAATCTCCCGAAGGTATGCCCTGTGGCAGGCAGTTTCCAGCTTAAACAAAAAAATTGTTGTTTAGCGTATTCTAAATCATTATTTTGATACGTCACATGTCAAGAAAGTAATAAAAAATACAGAGCCTTAAAGATCCTAAGTACATTGCTTCTTCATAGTGTTTTTAGCAAACCAATTACATTGATTATGGTATTTGGAGCAATAGAGTGAAACCATGAAATGCTGTTGAATTTATTTCTTATCTCACAGTTTTGTCCTTTCCAACGTTAATCCAGTGTAACTCCTTTAAATATCGATGGAACATTGCTCTGATCTGGATATTGAGTTGATACGTAATTTTACATAATGTTACATAGTCCTAGATTTTTCTAGATAACGGATTTTCCAGTTGCCATCACCATCCGTTGCGAGTATGTTTCCCCCCTTACACAGTTATTATAAACATTTAATAATCATTTTGCATGGGAGTGAGGTTTTCTTTTGCCGTGAGGCTTTGACTTCAGTTAACATATCCGTATTTTATTTTTTGCTTGAAGTAAAATTAAGACAGTTACGGTAGGAAACTGTTTAGCTCCTGTAGCCCCCTAGTGAAGATGTGTTTCACGAGAAGTTTTCTAAGTTTATATTTTCTCTCCGTGTAACCTTTTTCAATCCAACTCTGAGACACTGAATTTCTGGTTCCTTCTTTTTCTCACTGGCTGTTCCATTCTTTGCAGATATGGACGCAGGTAACTATACGTTTTCTTCATGGTAACACTTGTCTTCCTTAGAAGAGAAAGCAGGAGGCTCGACCTTGTACACTGTAGCGTTCCCTTCTCTCCTTGTCCTGTGTCTCTTCCTGTTCTGTTTCATTTTATCTTTTTTTTTTTTTTAATTCAGTTAAACACCATTCCACCCTGTTTTGTCCCTTAGATGTCTTTTTAGCAGTAGTTGTCCGTAGCTTCACATGCTCCCTGTAACACTTGTTCCAGTGTTGAACTCTCTTCCCGGAGACCGTGTAACCGTTTGGAAAAGGATGGCGTCCTTTGACCAGCTTTGCTTGGGGCTCTGCCATCCATTTCCTGCAAACGTTTTGTGATCACGTTGTTTAAAAAAAAAAAAAAGGGTGTGTGATTATAGTTTCAATACTAAAATGATTTGGGAAGTTTGGAGGTTGAAATGAAGACTCGTATGTGGCAATAAGTAAGAAGCATAGCTAGCCGATGAAACATGTACACGGATGATAGAAAATGAAATTATCTGGAGAGGTAAGGAGGGGGAGCGCCTCCCTGGGGTCTGACTGCTCCCTGGGGGTCTGTCCCTGGGTTGTGCTGATGTTGTTTGTTCCATTGTGTCTGAGAGTGAATTTTAGCCACAGTCACTTCAATCACACCTAGAGAGTCTTTGGGGATTTTTTTTCCTTGGGTTTTCTGGTTATGCCAGGACTAGCTATGGTATAGCGTGCGTGAAGTCAGTAATGAAGGACTGGTTAACTTGACTGCAAGTGGAATGACCTCTTTAAATCTGCCTTCACGCCCCTTGGCCCTGGTGGCGAAGCGGTTAAGAGCTTGGCTGCTAACCAAAAGGTTGGCAGTTTGAATCTACCAGCTGCTCCTTGGAAACCCTATGGGGCTTCTACTCTGTCCTGTAGGGTCTCTGTGAGTCGGGATCGACTCAACGGCGGTGGGTTTGGTTTTGGATTTCATGCCCCTTGAGCTCTCCACGAGGCCAGTCTGGAACCCCCAGGACTTTCTCTCTCCCATTTGGGGCCGGATGGTTGGTGTTGGTTGTCCTCAAGCCACTGGCACCTTAGCGGGAGTACAGGAACAGCGTCTGATGCCGGGAGCCCTTCTGGCTTTTCTGTCCTCCCTTCCAGGGCTCACAGGTTGCTCCCATCTTGTGTGTGCTTGACCGTGCTCTCCTTGCAAGACATAATGGGCCCTCGTGTTTTAACACAGGGATTTATCTTGAATGTTCACATATCAAAAGTAAATTTGTGTCCAGTTGTTAGTTGCCGTCAAGTTGGCTCCGACTCATGGCCACCTTGGGTAGAACGGACGAAATGTTGCCCGGTCCTGTGCCTTCTTCATGATGGTCATTGGCGTGTTTGAGTCCCCTCCTGTGGCCACTGCGTAGTGCCGTCCAGCCTGTATCAGACTCATCTCCCAGCACTGTATTGGACAGGGTTCTGTTGTGATGGGTTTCCATTGACTGATTTTCGTAATAGAGCTCCAGGCCTTTTTTCTAGTCTGTCTTGGTCTGGACGCTGTAGTGAAAACTGTCCACCGTGAGTGGCCCTGCTGGTATGCTGGTGGCGTGGCTTCCAGCATCACAGCAACACGCAGCCCCCACAGTGTGACATGCTGACAGACAGGTGTTCCCGGTAGGGTGATCTAGACTACAAGGAATATCCTTGCTTCTCCGATTTTCAAGTCACATGTTTTACTCTCTTGAAATTTTGTAGTGTCGCACATGGTCTTAAAAATACGTTATTTTAAAGAGTAGAATCATGAGCACAGTCTGTGAAAGTACATCCCATTCTTCATCAGCAAAGTGGAAATGTCTGTTACCTCCTCAGTGGGGCCCCTTGGGCCAAGGGAAAGATCGTCCATGATCTTTTCTCATACCTTTCAAGAGCGCCCCCACTCAGCTGTCCTCTTACCGTTTGACTCCAGGTAGAAGGTGATGTTTTCCATGGGGACATGGGGAGCTCAGAGCAATGTACACCCAGCGGGTGTGCACCAGGGGTTTCTGGGAGTACCCAAAGGACTGTGTTTGGAAGCCCCTTTAAAAAAAACCTATATCAGTTACTATCGAGTTGATTCTGACTCATGGTGACCTCATGTGTGCAGGGTAGAACTGCCCCATAGGGTTTTCAAAGCTGTGACCTTTCAGAAGCAGATTGCCAAGCCTTTCTTCTGAGGCACCTCTGGATGGGTTTGAACCGGCAGTTTTTCAGCTAGCAATCGTGTGCTTAACTGATTGGGCCAAACATGGTATCCTTACCCCTGGCGAATCCTGATTTCTGGAGCTGGCCACCTGTCCCTGTCTTTGCCTCTCTTACTGAGACGGGGGAGCTGGCCTCCACTTCCTGTGCACGTGGAGGGGTGAGTCTCAGGATAGCAGCCGGAAGGGAACCTTAACTGGCTGTTTCTGAAGGAAAATGAATGGGCCAGCACCTTGTTTCCCTCTCACCACCCTTTTTTTCATCGTCAGAGGTCCTAGAGCTGGGAAATAAGTTCAGATCGTGCCTTCTAAACTGAGAAGCTTCACATAAAACATGTGGGGTTGGAATATAATGTCTAGTGCCGCCACCCAGGTTCACCCAGGTTCTTGGAGAGTATGGGAGGGGCAGGACTCATCTCCAGGTGGACAGAAGGTAGATGACGCGGGCAGCCTAGCCCCACCCGTGACGAGTCAGCTAGGCACACAGTTAGTGTGCGGCTGGTGGCACATTTCGTCAGCACCAGGTGGAAAGGGGTTGGATTTGTGAGTGAGCTGTGTGACCATTCCATTTCTCATGATTGTTACCTTCTAACTGGTCCTCGTCTTCTTTATAACTGCCAGCTGCCTTCCAGCCATACACAGTGTCTTAGTCTGCATTCGCTAGAGGGGCAAAACCAGGGAGACACACACACAGACACACACACACACACATATACATATAAAGAGAGTTTCTTCTTCAATGGCTCACACAATTGTAGGGCTGGCAAGTCCCATATCTGTAGGTCAGGCGGCAGGCTGGAGACTTCTGCAGGTTTATGTTTCAAGAACTGGAGGTCATATGATGAGAATAGTACAGGGTAGAGTGAGAGAGAGAGAGCGTTTTGCCAGAACATCCATCTGTATACTGGAGGCAGGCCACACCCCCAAGGAAACTCTGCTTTCAACTGATTGGCTGCTCACGTCAGATCACATCATGGAAGGTGATTACATTATATTACATTGTAGAAGAGCAACCATTCCAATGTCTGCCAAACCCCCGAGACTCATAGGCTAGCCAGGCTGACACATGTTACTCCTCACACACAGGAAGCTACCTTGAATGAAGGGCATCTTGCTGTTCTGCTCCACTTGTCTACGTACCTCACTGCAGCCTCCCCGCTCTTAATGCCTGTGTGTGGCTGTTCTGCTTTAATTCACGTGTAGCTGTCTTTTAGTGTTATTCTGACCCGTGGTGGGGATATGTGCATGGCTGAGCACCGGAAGGTGGGAAGGGCTTTCCCGCTTGCAGGAGAGAGTTCTTTCTTGGTAGAAAAATCTCTGATGTAAGCTGATCTTCAGAGCCATGTCTGAGTGTACTTTTCATCAGATATAGATCTTAGCTTAATCTCTTAGAACATCTGGTGTATGTAAATTGTGTGGTACATTTAGGCTGATATTTTGCTCTTGTAACAAAGAGAGCTGATTCAAAGGTTTAGGTAATTTTTAAAGATGCAATTCAAATGAGGGAAGGATTTCATATTCTGTTTTTTAATTAGCGAGTTAACAGTGCAAAAGTAGGTAACTCAGCCTGTGATTCCATGGAAGTGATCCAAAGAATAAAATTTATGTACAGGCAAGTATCCTTTTAATCATGTGCTTTGTATGTATACATAGATAATACATATATGTGTGGAATATATTACATATATAATATACTATGTACCTGGCCAACCGACTGGGGGAGATCCATATTCGTTACTCTTCCAAAGAAAGGTGATCCAACAGAATGCAGATATTATTGAACAATATCATTAATATTACACATCACTTACTGTTGTGAGTATGGCGCAGGACCAGGCAGTGTTTCATTGTGTTATACGTGGGGTCTCTGTGAGTCAGAGCTGACTCGACGGCACCTAACAGCAACAACAGTGTGTATATAATGTTTAAACAGGAGCTGGATTAGAATTGTCAAAGCCGTCCGTTACTTCCTGGTGTTGGAAGGAGCAGTTGAGTCCCAGTTTTCAGGCTGGCAGTGCTTTGGAGAGGACTGTTGCACTTCTACAACTTCACAACGTTAGAGTAACTTAAATGTGACCTTCACACCC